CTCACCACAATAGAGTAGCATCTTTTTTTACTTGTTGGTCAAGTATTTCTCCATCGATCTATATAAATATCACCTTCCAACATGTGAAAAGGGACCCGGTCTGAAATTCTCTTGTTATTACTCTGCCAAATTTGTTACCCGATTTTACTTAGCATTTTCCCCGTTTTCTCTCCCGAATCTTGGATTCCGGCTACCCCAGGGTCGGCAATCCATCAACTGCTTTCCTTCTCTCTTTTCTCTTGGCTTTCTTCTTTGTTATTTGTATCTCATCTTCACCATCCTCAGCACCATTACCATCTTCATAGTGTTGTATTCGTCATCTTTCGTTTGCATCAGTGCATCACCATTCCTATACATTATCTTCATTGCCTTCCATTCAAAACCAGGGATGGAAAGTCGCGAGAAAATTTGAAGATGAAAAATCGTCGAAATTATTGTAAGTGTCAACTATAAAAATTACCAGCCTCATATTTTATGTCACGAACGTATATATTTTATTATTTGAATATATTTTGTTATTTATGTACAAATCTTTCCTTACCTTATTATTTCTCCTGTCACCTATTGTATCTACGGCAAGGAGTGTTTTTAGGCTTAGTAATAGACATAGTGATTACCTTATCTACGCTTGCTAGTATTGTATATATATAGACTGCTGTAATGTAATTATGGAATAAGAAAAATACACCGACTTCGTTATTTTCCTCCCTATTCTATCCTTATTATGGTATCAGAGCCGACATTTTAATTCCTACGCCGTGCGACTGAATTATGCGCATGACAGCGATGATGTCGAATCCACAGACGTCCAAGCTAATGCAATCACAGCACCTCCAAAAAGTGAAGGAATCTCTCATTCGGATGCGAAGGAGTTTCCAGCACTCACGGCAGATCAATGGAGCTCCCTTTTGGAGTTTATGAAAAAGTACACAGCAGGTGATAACATTGAAAAGCTGTCAGGTACGACTCGTTTTAAATGGCTTCTTGATACAGGGGCATCTTACCATATGACAGGAGATAAAAGTGTGATGTGCGAAATGGCGGTTATAAATTTTGTATCTGTGACCCTACCAAATGGGTGTGTGACCTATGCAAGCCATATTGGTCGTGTGATATTAGGGGGAGGTGTGACTCTTGAAAGGGTACTTTTGGTGCCTAATTTGATGTGTCATCTAATTTCGGTCGGGAGGCTTATTGATGATCTATCATGCCATGCAATATTTACTAACACGTTTTGTGTGATACAAGACCCAACTTTGAAGACGCTGATTGGAGTGGTTGAACGTCATGGGGGAGTCTATTATCTGTGTGGAGTTGAGTCTGTGCAGGCTTCACATGTGACAAGTGAGAATTCAGAGGAATTGTGGCATAAACGCATGGGTCATCCTTCACGACGCGTGATACGATTGCTTTCTGTTTGTCAAAATAAAATTGCCGATGATAGTGTTTTTAATAAGCATTGTGATATTTGTGCTCGTGCCAAACAGACACATGAAATTTTCCCTTCTAGTTTGAATCATGCATTGTATATTTTTGATCTCATTCATTGTGATGTGTGGGGTCCTTACCGAGAACCTAGCACATGTGGTGCCTATTATTTTCTTACTATTGTGGATGATTATTCGCGTGCAGTTTGGGTTCACTTAATGGCAGGAAAAATGGAAGTGCCTAATATGATGGAACAATTTTTTGCTATGGTTAAAAATCAGTTTCAAATTTCTGTTTAGGTTGTTCGTGCTGACAATGGAACTGAATTTTTACCCCTGAAAAAATATTTTCTTAATAACGGAATTTTGTTCCAAACATTGTGTGTTGGGACACCACAACAAAATGGGAGAGTTGAAAGAAAACATCGTCATATTCTGAATGTGTTGTGAGCTTTACGCCTTCAGGCTAATCTACCAATCCGATTTTGAGGAGAGTGTGTGTTGACAGCTGGTTATTTAATTAATAGAAAAACTCCTTTTGAATGTTTATATGGGACGGTCCCGTCTTATGATCATATTAAAATGTTTGGTTATTTGTGTTATGTCCATTGCAAAAGTTCGGATAAATTTGGCCCACGTAGTCGCAAATGTGTATTTTTGGGATATTCTTACTCTCAGCGAGGATGGAAAGTCATGGACTTGGAGTCACAAAAACATTTTGTTTCCAGAGATGTACGGTTTGATGAAACCCAGTTCCCTTTTGCTCACAACTTGGTTCCTATATCCCTACCACCTACTGATGATATTGTACATGAGCTTCCACCACGTGTCCATGATGATGATTTGACTCAGTTTGGTCCTTTACACCAAAGTATGCCACGAAATGATCCACCAAGCAGTGAGGATGCTTCTGCTCCTGACATTCACATGGAGCCTCCTCTTCACACGTCATCACGAAATATTGGTAATCCCATAGATAAGGCAACATACACATCTCACGAGGAACTAGTTACCACACATGTACCAACCGAGGACATGCAACGTACTCCGGATGTTAGCGTTCCACTGGGACGTGGTTTGCGACAAAAGATACCCTCCGTCCGCTTACAGGATTATGTGCTGACCCATGCAACGATTACTGACCCCCATGACCACCCCTCCCAGTCTCCATCTTCGGGTACTCCTTATCTCTTAACTTCTTATGTAAATTATGATGCTTACTCAGTCCACCATTGAGCGTTTCTTGCAGCAATTTCTCATCGGAAGGAACCGATTTCTTATCACGAGGCGGTTCGTGATCCGCACTGGCGGGCGGCTATGCGTCGGGAAATTGATGCTTTGGAGGCCACTGGCACATGGACCTTGGTGCCGATGCCCACTCACAAAAAACATATTCATTGTAAATGGGGTGTACAAAATTAAGTATAATAGTAATGGCACCATTGAACGTTTTAAAGCCCGACTTGTGGTGTGTGGCAATCGTCAAGTCGAAGGAATTGACTATCACGAGACGTTTGCTCCGGTTGCCAAAACGACAACCGTCCAGACTCTTCTAGCTATTTCTGCCGCCAAGAATTGGGAGCTCCACCAAATGGATGTTGATAATGCCTTTTTACATGGGCAGTTGGATGAAGAGGTCTATATGTATCCACCTCTTGGTTTCTCTACCGCACGGCCTAAGGAGGTTTGTCGCTTGCAACGTTCACTTTATGGCCTCCGCCAAGCACCGCGTTGCTGGTTCTCACGTCTTAGTACTGCTCTTATTTCTTATGGTTTTGTTCGCTCCTATGCTGATTATTCTTTATTTACGCCACGCAAGGGAAATAATTTTGTTGTTATTCTTGTTTATGTTGATGATCTCCTTATTGCTGGAAATAATTCCTCTCTTATTGGTGCTATTAAGGCACATTTTGCTAGTTGTTTCCCTATTAAGGATCTTGGGCATCTCAAATATTTTGTGGGTCTTGAGGTTGCTCGCAGCCCCACTGGCATTTTTCTATGTCAACGAAAATACACATTGAATCTTCTTGATGAACTTGGATTGTCTGGGTGTAAATTAAACCATCAGATTTTCCCATGGAACAACATCACAGGTTGGCGTTGTCTGATAGTCCGTTATTCACTCAACTGGAACGCTATCAGAGAGTTATTGGAAAACTAATTTATTTAACCTTGACCCGACCAGAATTGAGCTACAGTGTACATATTCTTACACAATTTATGCAATTCCCACAGATGGAACATTGGGATGCGGTTGTTCCGGTTCTTCGTTATCTTAAAGGGCAGCCTGGTCAAGGTATATTACCGTGTGCCGATTCTGATTTGCATCTACGAGGTTATTGTGACTCAGATTGGGCCGCATGCCCACTTAGTCGACGATCTCTTGCTGGCTATCTAGTTATGTTGGGCGGTTCCCCGATTTCCTGGAAAACAAAGAAACAGCCCACCGTGTCTCGCTCTTCTGCTGAAGTAGAATACCGGTCCATGGCTACTGTGGGTTGTGAACTACTTTGGCTTAAAAGTCTCTTGTTTTCGTTGGGTATCTCGCATTCCCGACCTACGGAGGTATTTTGTGTTAATCAAGCGGCTCTTCACATCGCGTCCAACCCGGTTTTTCATGAACAGACGAAACATATAGAGATTGACTGTCATTTTGTTCGTGATCTTATTCAACGTGGCATTATCTCTACTCAACACATTGGTCCTTCTTCACAGTTGGCGGACATCTTCACAAAGTCACTTGGCTCTTAGCAGTTCCATTTTCTCATGTCCAAGTTGGGCGTTCTAAAGTCGGCCGCTCCAACTTGAGGGGGTGTACGAACGTATATATTTTATTATTTGAATATATTATGTTATTTATGTACAAATCTTTCCTTACCTTATTATTTCTCTGGTCACCTATTGTATCTACGGCAAGGAGTATTTTTAGGCTTAGTAATAGACATAGTGGTTACCTTATTTACGTTTGCTAGTATTGTATATATATTATATACGGAATGTAATTATGGAATAAGACAAATACATCATTTTCCTCCCTATTCTATCCTTATTATACGAGTAAAGGGTCTGTTTGGTACTCGAAGTTGCAAAAAAGGGGTCAAATAAGTCCTTATATAGAAGATTTTGTCCGGACGTGCCATTTGAGGCGGCTCCCGGTGGAATTTTTTGATAAAATTTTTTGAGCATCTTATTCATTAAATCTAGTTTACTCATACCAAATTTCAGCTAAAAATTCAATTGGGAAGACATTCAAATGAATTCTTGAAGATAACTGCGCTTTTAACGGCACCGTTATCTTCAAGAATTCATTTGAATGTCTTCCCGATTGAATTTTTATCTGAAATTTGGTATGAGTGAACTAGGCTTAATGAATAATATACTCAAAAATTTTCATCAAAAAACTCCACCGGGAGCCACCTCAAATGGCACATCCGGACAGAATCTTCTATATAAGGACTTATTTGACCCCATTTTTGCAACTTCGAGGACTAAACCGATCCTTATCCCCTTATTATACATATTAATGAAATTTGTTTGTATAAAGAAAATAATCTGAAACGTTAGTAAATGTTTGTAAAAGTAACCACTAACAAACAACATATATGCACAAGACATTAGCTAACTGCTTACATGCTAAAGTGACTTAAGTGAGCAATATGGAAAATGAGATAAGATGATGATCATAGTGATGAAGATGGTGTATGAATGGGAGAAAAGATATGAACAAGGTATAAGAACAAGGCATAAAATACCGACATGTGGAACGTATTTATTACGTAGTGTACTTATTACATATAGATACATTAAACTAATTACTCCGTACTAAAGAAAAAGTCAAAACAATCAAGCTCAGGTCGTCGCATGGATTCTGACCTTCTTTCTACATGATCTCAGATCAGCTCGATCGCTCATCAGTACGACGACGTCCGCTGTACATATTTCCACTGACTAGTAAATGTTCTTGATTTCCCGATGATTGATTATCGGTGGACGGCGGCTGCACGGTGGGAAGACGCATGTTGAATAAATCCGGACTTTCTTTCGCCATACCCATGCTTGGATTTGAGCCCGACCCGTTACGATTGAACAAGGGAGATACGCCAAGGCCATCCAGACGGGCTGACCCGGAAGCGGTGGAGAAGAGATCCAGCCGGCGAGAGTACGGCGAGCCGACGGAGAACGGATCCATCGGGATTCCGGTGAACTCCTGAACCATTTGCCGGAAATTGGCGGTGTCCGTCGTCAGCACGGTGGTGGGCGCCCTCCTTGAAGCCCGGCTCCGTTTCTTGGAGTTCTTAACGGGCTGGGCAGGGGCGGGATCCGGCCCGCACATCTCAGCCGTCGGCTGCACGGGTGATGATGACGATGACGCGCTCAAGAACCGTTGGTGATGACTCGCGGCCGCCGCCGTGCCCAAGATAGCTGATAACGGCGGTGATGACGGAGGCGGAACGAAATCAGCCGCAAAGTTGGGAAATCCGGGTTCGGGTCTTACTAATAACCCCGGAGGAGGAGGAGGCCAGACCAAATCACGACCGTTAATGTTATTATCTACATAAAAAGACGATTTGAGATTTGGCAGCGGTTGCGGGAAAGTGGTGGCGGACAGAAACATTGACTGGGGTTGACCGAAATCCATACAAAAATTATGAATGGATTCCTCTCCTCCTTCTAGACGTGAGGAATCAATATCAAACTCTTCATTATCGCCGCCGCCTCCGCCTCCACCGCCGCCACTTAGGGATTGTATACTACCACTACTTCCGGAATCCATAAAGTCTCCGGCGGCCTCCCAATTGAAACAAAAGGAGAAAACTATAGACAAAGAGAGGGGAAATGAAATAAAAGTCTATGGGATGGGAGGAGTGGGTAAAACTAATTATGAATTAAAGGTTTAATTAAGCAAGAGTAAGTACGTAGTAGGAAAAGGTGCAAATAAAGGAAGGGAGTGGGAGGGGACAATAGTATTGATGATGGTTTGAAAAGTGAGCGATATATAGATCGAAACGCATAAAAGAGAGGTTTCTAAATAAATCTAACCTTATCAGCTAGACTTGAAAGAGGCTATAATTATGCTAAGATAGCTACGCGCGCAAATTAATTACGAATTCAAGTACTTATAGTAATAATAGTATGCATTAATTATTGGAACATTCTTAGTGTGCATGAGTTGTACACAAATTATACATAAAACCTTTTAATTGTCTATGTATACGGACAATTCGTTTAAAAGGGGACATAACTGAATGTCAAATTGTCTGTGTATACAGATAATATACACATTTTGTATGCATCATGTACACCCAGAATAGTCCTTAATTATTTACCGGAGCAGAGTCTAGAAGCGCAGGATTTGGGGTTTTGGTTGATCACGAGAAAGTAATTAATTAAAAGAGAGAAACGAAAAGCAATATGGAAAGTTAAAAAATGTAAAAGGGCGGCTTGTATTAATTAAATGTTTAATGAGTGGAAAAGGTAATGAGGGCAGCTAGTTAATTAATGTGATTGTAATTTTTTTATTGATGAATTTGTGTAGGCGCGGGTAGAGGAGGTGGTAGGTTATTAGGTCGTCGACGATGGAAGATGATGGGCGGTGGGGACAGCACAAAGTATACGTATAGCTGCCGGTAGGTGCCAACGGGGGCCGGTCAAACTCGATCAAATAGGTGATGATGGATCCAGATGGATGGTTCCCACTCAAGAGTTGTCTAGCTCCGATGGGATTTATTTGAGAGAAAAATGTCAAATTTAAAGGAAAACTATCAAATAAGTTCTCGTATCATGCGGAAAAAGTCAATTAGACTTTCGTACTTTACTAATACTCATTTTGAGTTTCTTCGATTACCTCTTTTGAGTCTATGTTGTAAGACCCGACCCGGTCCGGGCGGGTCAACCTGGAAACCGGCGACCCACTGGGAATACCGGGCCGGTTATGGATAACCCGCAAATATGCCCAAACCAGCCTAGACCCGATGACCCGTTGTTGACCCGGCCGGAAACCCAGCCCATTACCCGGCTAAACCCGTAGAACCCGTGTAAACCGCCCAATCCATAACTACTTAAAAAATGGGTCGCACGCAAGGGTCGAACCCGCAACCTCTAAGATACGCTCCACACCCATTTCCAATGTACCGCACTCACTGCTTTGCTATATTCGTGATTTCAAGCTATATATTGCATACTTCGTATATCTTTATCTCTACAAACTAATAAGAGTGAATGATGGTTAGCCTATTTTAGGTATTAAAAATTTGTTGGTGGTAATTATATGCTGAATTGATATGTACTAAATGTTTAATTCCTTGTACCTCATTCTTCTTTTATATGCCGCGCCGCGGTACTCAATGTCGTTTATCGTCCTGTTAGTATAACCTCCCGCAACCACCCATTACAACCGTGCATATCCTTCGAGTCGCACATCTGGAGGGGATTAGCCCATTCGGCCTCACGCATCGCCCCTTAGTCTTCTCTAATGTAAGTTCATATTTCCGTTTTTCATGGATTATCACATGAGATCTATGCAAAGCCGTGTTTTCTGCACCGCCAACAACAAGACCATCGTCATGGAGGTTTTCCGCCTTGCGCCCCACACGAAGCACAAGCACCGGGTTAAGAAATGGATGAAGTTCCAAACTCACGATTCTCTGAACCAGTTCAAATTTGGGGACTTTGTTCAACTTGAGAAGAGCCGCCCCATTAGCAAGACCAAGGCGTTCATTGCCATCACATTCCATGTGAGTCTGAGTAGAATTTTAGCTACAGCCATGGGTTTTGTTGGTATCCAGTTTACCCTTTATGAATTACCTTTATGTTATCTTCAGTGAATTTTATTACTGTGGAGTTCGATTAATGTGTTAAATAATCAATATTTACATATTTTGAGTCTTTTGACACTATTAATTTATTACTCTATATATACTCCCTCCGTCCCCTTTTTAGTGTCCCGTTTTATCATATTGGGATGTCCTATTTAATTGTCTAATACCTTATTTAGTAAAGTTTGTGTGGCTCAAAATCATCTTTACTTTATTCTTACTTTATCAATTAATATCAACCACACAACCCTACTTTTCTTAAAAAGGGGACGGAGGTAGTAATATTTTAGTCCTGCTTTCTAAAAGAGGAAATTTAATTTGATATGAGATCGCCTACAGCAAACCATTAGTTCTCATGTGTAGAGGAAGTTATCGAAATCGGAAAGGCATATCTCCTATAATCATTCGCCCCTTCCCCTGATAAATGTATATTGTTCTACTATCAGAGCCGGTCACTCAGTCACTCTTGTCTCTTATAGGTTAGCCTTATACACATTCTTGCATCTCTTATGCCTTTAATTAGAAAACTAATCAGCACAGTAGCTGAAAAGAAAGTGATTGTTAGAATTATAGTTCTTGGTGTTACAACTTGCAATAACATAAGAACTAAAAGAACAAAAACTATTATTTGTGTGTCAGTTGACTTAAGCTTCAAGGGGTTTGCTCAGTAACTGTTTGGGTGTGGCGATGGTGAGGGATAGTAGATGACCCAAGGAAAACGCAGTGAATTGACAATGTTTAATTAATGTGTGATTATCGAAAGATAAATTGTTACTTAAGAATTTGTGTGGGGTTAGAGTGAAATAGTATCATGCTGATATAGGCCATGCCAACATGGTTCTAATAGAAATTTATCTTTACTGATATTAGGAGTAGTTTTAGTATGTTTATATAGGAAATAAGAAAATTCTAAACATTTTTGAAGGGATAGCTTTATGATACATTGTTGTTACATCTATACTTTTTTTGCATGAATCCATATGGCAAAATTTTCTCTTGTTGATGGCATTCAGTTTGACAGACATCTCAGTGGACTAATAAAGTAAGAAACCCTGTGTACTTCTGAGATAAATTTTAGTTTTTCTTGCCCTTAATACACATTATGTCCAGTAGGGGAGAAATTCCAAGTTTTATAAGGAGGAAAAAATGTACTTGGTTAATACAAAGAGATTGCCATTGAGATTGGGGAAGATATATCTTCAAGTCTTACCCCTTCCCTAGATATCTTATTGGCATAATTGAAGTGTACATATACTTTCATACTTCGTATGAGATTTGGCAGTATAGATACGTAGATTTATGCCAATGAGATCTCATAAAAATGTTTTCATGTTTTAGTACAGCTTTAAGTTATTTCAGAGAAAGAATCTATAAACAAACATGTGTCCTAACAGACCAATAGTCCATGGCAAACCTTGGATGAATATGATATGGGAGAGCCAAAATTCTTCAAAAATCTATTTTAGAATCTCTACTTGTGATAATCCTATGTATATTGAAATGGATAAAATATGTTATTTTTGTGACTCTCATATGGTTCAGTAGATCGCCTTTTTTAACAGTGAAAAGGAAGCGTGGCAGAATGTTGGGCACCAGATGAAGCTAAAAAGGAACCAACTCTACACTTCTCAACTTTGCTAATACGTGTTTAAAGTTATTTGGGAGAGCAAGAGTAATGATGCAAGCTGTTATGTAGGCTCTCTGTGGAATGACATACTCAGATTGGAAAGGCGGTAATGAGACCATTTTTGTAGTTATAAAAAAAGTGCTTCCTTTCCTATTAAGGTGGCTCTCAGGTAAACCGTCATTACATCTTTTCCAGTTATAATGTCAGTTTTTAATAACAGTCGTGAAATATTTTCTAATGTGTGACATGGGAGGTCATATGTGTAGAAGTGTAAGCATGTTGTTGCCTGCTTTTTTTTGCATAAAAAGATTCTTGTCTATTGCACACTATTTGATTTTATCCAACAAGTATGATCATATTTTAATGATTGGTACATTGGTTTTGTTGTGTTTGGGACCTTTTTATGTCAACTACAGTAAAGCAGGTGCTATAATGCAGACCAGGATGTTTAGTTTTGTTATGAATGTGATGCAAGGGGGGTCAAGGCCTTTATATATATATATATATATATATATATATATATATATATATATATATATATATATATATATATATATATATATATCTTACTGTATGGTTATTATATGTTCTTGTACCCCTGGAATAAGTTATGGTTTTTTAAATGGTGACCTGTGGAGTAATATTTTAGGTACAAAATTAGTTTGTATAAGTAAAACTACAGGTTATTGATTCAAATATTTGTTGAGACTAATAAAGTACTGAAACTAACTGAAATGATAAGCTCAAATCTTACGGATAGCTGTATTATGTCATAGTCAATTAGAGGGATTCAATGGTAAATGAGATTGATGTTGAGATTATAGGAGCTAGATGTTCACTCATTTGATATAATTATGTTACATCTTTTTTCATTCTTCATATTCATTCATTTGTGTCTTAACCTCAATAGTGTTATGTATCAAATAAAAGTTCAATATATTTCAAGAAAATGATGTAATAAATTATATTGGGCATTTAGCCATCGCGCAACGCACGTTGCAACAACTAGTTTTGTAATAAGTGTGTTAAAGGCAAAGCTTTATACGGTGTAATTAGTAACTGATGTTATCAAACATCATCAAAATACTTATGGGGAGTAACTATTATGCAAAATTGATATTAGTTTTCTTTTCAAATATGTGATATATCTACATCATTTCAAATATATTTCAAAGTTACTTATACGTAGTATAATTTAATTGGATTTTATAATAACCATCATTCACACATTTTGTTTATAGTTGTATATTTAAGATCTCAGAACAATATTATTATTGTTATACTTGTTATATACTATAACTATTTAATTATAAAGGAGAATATGTTTTTTCTTTATAATCTTAATATAATTTTTTTTTGAAAACATCTTAATATATAATTTATAATAATACATATTTTATGTTTTAATTTTATCAAAGGTTGACCGGGTTTTTCGCCCGTTGACCGGGTTGACCCTCCAGGTCCGGGTTGACCCTTGACCCGATCATTCGTCCGGGTCACCCTCCGGTCCGGTGTTTACAACATAGTTTTGAGTATGGTATTTTATTCAGATTTGCATTTTAGTAGGTAATCGACGAAAAAAATTTAACTTTCCAAAAAAATTACGCCACGTCAACATCCACCTAAGTAGTTGACTGGCTCACTTATGAGTAACCGGATAAAAAGCCCAATTGGGTGTATTTTGATAGTTTGGGGATCCAAATGGATGTTTTTATAGTAAGAGGATTTAATTGAATTTTCTTGTACAGTATAGGGACCTATTAGACATTTCCCTTCAGTAATTGATTTTTTTGTGGTTTAGTTGTAGGTTATATTTTTGCGGCATTGGGGTAATGGTGATGATGATGATGATGATGATGATGAGTTGTAGGTTATATTTTTCATATAAACTTTAATAATTGATGAAACATTCATGATGTGGTTGAATTTTTATGGACATTCTTATTAATTTCTTCATTTAGTTAAGGAACCATTATTTATTCATGTTGTTGAATTGTAGATGCATGTGTGTTTTTTTAATGACAGGATATTGTAGAAACAAAACTCATATGTAGCGCTCAAGACATGAAACAAAACACAGATGATTTGAACCTCATGATTTCAAGACTTGTTGAACATATATGTACTTTGCCGTAACAAGTTTGTTGTCTTACAAGGGTTGTTGAAAATGAAGACAAAGGCTCCAAATTGTTCAGACAGTTGTGCGGTTTACTTATCACTACTAGAATTTTCGTCATTTGCTGCTACCTATTTGATGCGGTTGTTTATAATCCGCAGCAAATAACCCACAATTTTTGAGTATTTGCTGCGGTCAATGGTAAACCGCAGCAATAAATAACTTTTTCTATTCTATTTTCATGGTTTTAAAAGGCGTTTCGCCTTTACGCATCTAAGGCGCTAATGCGCAAAGGCGGTCAGTAATCGCGTTAAAGGCTTAAGCCTTAACATACCAGAACAAGGCTTACGCCTTTTTTTTTGCGAGGCGTCGAAGCGGTATCAGGGCGCTGGGCGTTCAAGAGGCGTACGCCTCTAATTTGACGCAAACTTGGGCTTAATTTTTAAATTATTGGGGGCCTGTTTTTTTTTCAACTTAATATACAAATTACCTGGATTAGCATAGCCCTAGGTCCTCCCTGTCTTCCAACTTCTATTGCCGGTCCACTCTTCTACAATAGTAACAAACAAGAAACAGGGACTTCAATAAGCGCTGCTCAGCACCTCAGTTGAAGCTTCGTTAGTTCCGGACCGAGACTTTAGGAGCTCCCTACAACTCTGCTTCGCCGATTCATCCAGGTACGTATAGAATACCCACCGCCCAACCTCTATAATTTCTTATGAGTATTCGTTTTTCATCATTTAAGTTTTTTAATCAACTTTTTAGTTATTTAAAAGTTTTGTTTTGATTTATTAAAAGTTGCGCAGTATTAATTACAGTCAAAAAAGTTATGAAGTATTAATTATTAAATAGTTGTCCACTTTTCTATGTATTAATTATTAAATCGTTGTCCACTTTTCTGTTTATTTAACTTTTTTAGTTTGAAATTAATGTATTTGTGTCTGTTGAATTTAAAAGATTACAAATGTCGGTTTGTGTTTAAAAGACACTCAGACAAAGTTATTAAATTTCGCCTACTGTTTAAACTTTATTAGCCTACTGGTTATTTATGAATTTATGAACCTACGGTTTAAACTTTCTAGTTCTAATAATTCAACTATCAATCTATCATTGATCTTACTAAATACTAATTTATTTGTTAAAAAATTAATACTACATTGCTACGTACTTTATGCGTTTACTTCACTCAAGATTTATTTTTATTTATAAATGTTATAGTTAAGTTCATTACAGTTTGATTATATTGTTTTATTAAAGTTGATTACCAATTATTTGGTTATTTTGTGTGACTAGTTTACTTAAATTCATGTTAAAAAATCATTTTATTCGTAGGATTGGGGCTGATTAGTCACGATGGTTAAACCCAGTAAGAATCAGGGAGAGGGGTCCAGCTCAAATAAGGATAAGGATCCTGCTTGGAAGTATGGAATTAAAGTAATTCCTCCGGGAGGAAAGACTGGTTATGTATATGCGAAATGCAAATATTGCAGTAAGTTGATCACCAGTGGTGTGAGGAGGCTTAAAGAGCATCTTGAGGGAACACATAAAAATGTGGCGCCGTGCAAAAGTGTTCCTGACAATGTTAAAAAGGATGTGTTAGCAATGTTGAAGAGCTATCAGGATCAGAAAGATGTTAACCAGAAGTTTTTTGATGAAATGGTAGATTCTGGCTCGTACTTTGGTACTGGAGTAACTGGACCTCAGCCGCGTGGGCCTATTGATCGCTTCGTTACTCGTCCAGGCAGTAGCTCAAGAGATGGAGAAAATGAGCAGGAAGTTGTAGAAGATGATATTGTGCCTAACAAAATGAGTAAAACTACCATGAGAGAGCGACGTAATCTTGTTTGTCAAGATGTGGGCAGATTTTTTATTGAAAATGCAATAGCATTCAATGTAGCTCGCAGTCCATCTTATTTTAACATGCTGCGTTCTGTTAGTAGTTATGGTGCAGGCTTTAAACCCCCATCCATGCATGAGTTGCGGACGTGGATCCTGAAAGCGGAATATGATACCACGAACACATATGTGGAAGAAGTGAAGAAGACATGGCCGCACACTGGAGTTACAATAATGTCAGATGGGTGGAGCGACACAAGAAACCGAGGTCTTCTTAACATACTAGTTAACAACCAATATGGTACTGTTTTCCTCAGATCTATTGATGCATCAGATCGAGTTAAAGACCAAACTTATCTTTTTGAATTGCTTGACGGGGTAGTTGAGGAAATAGGAGAAAGTTTGGTTGTGCAAATCGTGACAGATAATGCAAGTGCATACAAAGCTGCTGGGAAACATCTAATGGAGAAGAGGAAGCATTTGTATTGGACGCCATGTGCCGCCCATTGTATTGACCTCATGCTTGAGAAGATTGGAGAGCTGACACAGAATAAAAATGTGTTGATCAAAGCTAAGAAGATCACTAATTTTATCTATAATCGTGGATGGGTTTTGCAGCTAATGAGGAAGTGTATCGGGAAAGATTTAGTGCGTCCAGGCCCCACGAGGTTTGCCACTGCATTCTTGACTTTAGATTGCATGGCCACCGTAAAAGAATCCTTGCAACGAATGTTTGTTTCCAAACAATGGACTTCAAGTCGATATGCAAATTTAGTTGAGGGGAAGGAGGTTAAAAAAATTGTTATGGATGAAAGAACTTTTTGGCCTGGGGTTGCTTACTCAGTAAAAACATCAAGGCCATTAGTTGAAGTGTTAAGGATTGTTGATGGTGATGAGCCTGCAATGGGATCCATCTACGGTGCTATGGATTCGGCAAAAGAAAAAATTGCAGAGAATTTTGGAAATCAATATTCCACTTACAGTGAGATTTGGAAGATAATAGATGAGAAGTGGGAGCACCAACTGCATCGGGACTTGCATGCTGCAGCGTATTATTTGAATCCTAGATTCAAATGGGAGGATGATTTCTCTACTCATGTGGAGGTTAAAAAAGGTTTGTACGCTTGTATGGAGAGGCTTATTTCTGATACCGGTGATTTTAACAAAGCTGATGCACAAATAGATGAATATCGATACAAGCGTGGACTTTTCGGAATGAGGGCAGCTCAAAATTCATATAAAACACGTCCCCCAGGTAAACATTAAACTATATCTTTAATATCTTTAATGTTTATACACAGTGTACTTGTGTATTTAAATTTTAAGATCTAAATTCAAACTGAAAGTTGCAGTTTTTTTTTTACTTAAAATCTTAAAGTGGAAACTGCACTTAGTAACTAAACTAACCTAAAAATGTTGTTTTCCTACTACAGATTTACACTATTAGTGCATTACCTACTGAAAACTTAAAACTGAAAACTGCCGTTTGCAGTATTACCCAAACTGAAAACTGCCGTTTGCATAATGCATTAAAAACAATCTTCCCTACCTACTGTTTTTTTAAAGCAACAACCTTCCTTATCTTTCCTTATCTACCGAAGTAGTATTGTTGTAAAACTGCATTTTTTTTAATTCTTTAACATTTTTTTTAGTGGAATGGTGGGATCAATTTGGAGATCATATTCCAGAATTACGGGCTTTTGCGGTCAAAATTCTTGGCTTGACGTGTTCTTCTTCAGCTTGTGAACGAAATTGGAGCACATTCAATCAGGTCCACACGAAGAGAAGGAATCGTCTTTCAGCCATTAAGTTGAATAGTTTGGTATTTATAATGTTCAACAAGAAGTTGAAGTTTAGGAAGAGCCGGTTACAAAAGAAAGACGATAATTTGATCTTCGAAAATGTATCATCTGATGATGAGTGGATTGCTGAACCGAATGCAGATAATGAAGAAAGTGCAGATGCACGTGATGAACTTGCATTGGTTGTTGATGAAATGGACAACGAATTCAGAGGTTCATAACTTAATATTTTATTTTTTGTCACTTCAATATAATTATTTACACTTAACTTCCATCCCGTTTCATTCTATTTTTTGTGACTTTATGTGTGTAGGGGTGGACCTTACTGTTGGAACTGAAGAAGATAATGATGCTCATGATAATGAAGGAGATGACAATGAGAATGACATTACTAATTTGGATAGTGATGATGGGGACGATAGGCTTAGTTTTGAAGATTAAAATTTTTTTCTTGGAACTTTGATGTTTTATGTTCTTTCAAGTTTTGACTTTGGTATTTCCGTTTGATGTTATTTTGACTTGAATATTTTATAATTATGTTCGTTTTACTTGTGATTTTGTTTAGTTTAGCTTATTATTATGAATTATCTATACTTTCTAATATGTCATAGGTTTGTAGCAACACCATTTCGGGGCTTACGCCTCGTTACGCCTCGAGGCTTACGCCTCGGAAGGCTACCGCCTAACGCCTCGAGGCCCGATTTCGCCTTTCAAAACCTTGGCGGCGTTTGATGCGGAAACCGCAGCAAATAGGTTCTCAACATGCTCCAAATAAAAATACTCCGCAGTTTATTCCGTTGCCCTCCTCCCTCTATCGCAATTGGACACCTCGATCTAGGTTTAGAGAAGTCCTGACCATGCCGCCTGCATCTCACAACACCTCCACAGCTCATCCCGTCGCTCGCACCTCCGTTTAGCACCGCATTCGCCGATCATCAACGCCGTCTAATAGCGCTGAACAACGCCTCTGCCTAGCGGATGCCACAGCCTCCAGTTAGCAACGCCTCTGCCTAGCGATCCTGCTTCCTCTACTTAGCAACGCCGATGCCTCCAACATCTCTTCTCCTCTCACTTCAGGGTATGTTATTTATTTTTATGTATACTGTTATGTGTATTTGGTGAAAATCTGCTTTTATTATATGGTCAATACCGATCTACCTTTGTATATCATATGGATGTAGAGAAAGCTTGTGATTTTGGTGAATTGGAAACATCTGTTTTCCATTAATATACCCTGCTCATATCTTTGTTTCGTGTGTTCATTGGAGGGATTCATTCTCTTCAATTTCAGAAAGATGAATTTGTCGCTTGCAAAGTCCTTTAGTTTATTTTTTTTTAGATATATGCATATATTTATCTATTTTGGAATATGTTGAGTTTACTTATCTTTTTCAAAACATAATTTTGATTATTAGGCATTATTTCAATTTCGATCTCTTTAAGTTGTTTTCATGTTTGGCTAGTTTCTCTTTTGTAATTAGTCTTGTTGGTTAGTTTATATAGGTTTTGTTGGTTAGTGTATGTTGGTTTCGTTAGTTTAGATGGCAGATCGATTAACCTAAAGAGTAGGTAGTTTTGATGTTGTCTTTGTTGATTGATTTAGTTTGTTGATTTAATTAATGTGTCAATATACTAATTGTGTGGTTTTGTTAATTTCCCTTACTATTTTGTGAGTCTATTAACTTAGTTTTTAGTTAAAGATGTGGGTTACTTTCATTGTTTTCATATTTTTTCTTAATTGTGAGACTTATCCTTACTTAATGTTCAATTAATTGAGTAATGTATATATATTTCTAATGTTCTGCTTTTTCCCTCCCCTGTCTAGATTTTGACGATTCTATTTATATGGCCGATTAAATATAAGTTTAAAACATGTATGTTAGTAATCATAGGGGACTTACCCCCCTTTTTATTGTTTTTCAGTTTTCTAATATTTTCTGCCTTGAATGTTCCTAATCGTTCATCATAGGGTCAATTGGAACACATTTACTTCTGGTTCACTTTGTGTAGGTTTTCAAAGTATATGTCTCTATTCTTGGGCCTGAAAGAGGAAGGGAAGTGGCTATTATTTCAAGGTTGAAGTCATAAGAAAAATATGTGTGAGGAGAGTTGTGGAAACGCATAAAGCTGAGACTTACTCTTGAAATCAGAATTATTGAAGATAGTCTCTTGAGGAGGAAGCAGGTCGGGTGAGTAACAACACTTAAGTCGTTATTATAATATTAACTCTCTGTTGGATTGCAGAAGTTTATAAAGTTGTAGCAGTCTATTCTCACCAACAACTAGGATATAATTGTAACCAAACCAATCTTAACATACTGAGTAAGTCCCACTCGGAAGCACGGTCTATGTTTACATCAATTTAGATGAGTACCTACAGTTGGACAGCCCATCTCAGGGAAAAATGAGGGTTTTGAAGATATTAGGAAAAATTGTGTGAACGAAATTTTTATTTGAAATTAAAGAAAATATTAGTAAAAGGGTTAAAGAGCATAAAGTGTAAATCATTGTGAAAAAGATAATAAAGAAAAGTAACTAAACATGATAGCAGCTAAACTAATTTAGTAAGAAGTAATTTCTGAAAGTTCATGAGTATTGTTAATCACATAATAACACAATTAACCATTAATTGTTATTTTTACGTATCTAATATATACCACTTCAGATTCTTTGCTGTTTATCATTTCATTTTGAAAAATTCAAACCTGCAGGTGTCTATTGATTTTGGTTCTAAAATTGTAATTAATGAACATGTGAGTTTCATACGGTTGGATTATACCTTTAAATGTTGTATTTGCAGAACCAGATTTCTAATTCAATTGGTCTATCATGCCGTTTTTTATGATGATAACAAGATTCTTGAGGTGGCAGATTATTACCCTTTATCGTGAGCTCGATGTTCAATATCCTATTACTATTCTAGTTCATAGAGAACTATGAACTATGGACATAAGATTCTTGAGGTGGGGGATTATTACCCTTTATTCTAGTCACAGAGACCTTCTTTCCCACAAAGTGCCATCAACTCTCAGGTAGCTCAATTTTTATGAAGTGCTATCGTATAAGTTTCCATATGTATGTCCACTATATTTTTTGTGACCTCAACTTATAAATATGTAACTTTTAAATTTTAATACTGATTTAAATATTTGTTCATAATATAATAAGTATTTCCTCTCATTTTAAGAGTCATGATTAACATTAATAATGTTATTAAAGCTGCAGAAACCATATTCCAGAAGTTTAGTGTTGTTTCATTTTTAATACTTTTAGTTTCAGTACAATATTTTACCTTTAGACTTTAGTCATGGAATTCCAAAATCAGGGATTTGAATGGTTACTTTTGCTCATAATTTATATATACCAATTTAAATGGCTGATTTGTAGTTAGAGGTTTAAATGGTTAATATTAAAATTTCTCACTTCAAACTTCCCTTTTAAATGTACATAAACATGGTTTAAATTTTAAATGTTTAGCAAAGCTTGATTTTTGTTTATATTTTTCATCTTTAATTTAGTTTTATTGAACATTAATCTTTACATTCTAGCTTCTTGGTATTACTATTGGCTCATAATTAGAATTGAAGGATGAAATCAGGACACTCAAAGTGAAATTTCACACTACCATACTTACCTGTTAGGTATAATCTAAACTAAATGAGAAAGTAAAATTTGGACAATCTTTAAATAGTTTGAAACTATATTTGTAATTATAGTAAGCGATAAATATAACAATGATAGTTCTATGCTTATAATAATTTTAATATATCATTATTAATTTAATTATATACTTGTTGATGTTATAATAAATTATTCAAAGCGACCATGTACTCACTGGAGTTGCTGAATATTTCAGGTTCACAAGAGCACTCTAAGTAGTGATGAAGTTCTGAATAAATGGGTGATAATGTTTCTCATAATTTATTGTACTCTATACCCATATTAGAATGTATTCTAAGATAATAATAGCTTTTGTTGTATTGGCTATTGACATGTTTTTGACTTTTTGTAAAAAACATTTAGTCATAACTCATACGCAATATTATTTTGGCAATGATAATATACTTTGGTATATGGCTGATTATATGTACTTCAAGTAAAGTTACTTTTTTATTTTTATTTTTGGTAAAACGTAAAACCATGCCCATCATCCACGTGAAGCAATAATTGTTATTACAAAAACTGCTCATCATCCAAAATTGCTGCGGTCAAGTATACACCGCTGCAATAAGTGAATTCCAAAATAAATAATGACCTCTATTTGCTGCGGTTGTTGACCGCAGCAAATAACCAAATCTACATTTTGCTGCTCCTTCATTTGCTGCGGTTCAGAACCGCAGCAAATAGCTAAAAATAACCGCAGCAAATAGCTATTTTTCTAGTAGTGTATATGATAGTTGGAGTTGGATTTGTGGGAGTCATGCATATGATTGGTCAAAAATATAGTTACATATAACAATGGATTTATCGTAATGGTGTGCCTATGTGCTATTTAATCTAAATTGTTGTTTAAAGAGGTAAAAGTTTTATTAGTTTGGTTGGTACTTTATAGTACTTATGTAGTCCTTAATCTAGATTGTTGTACACCATTTAATGTTTTGGAATGGTGTTTGTACCATTCATGTAGATGTAGTTATTACCATTTCATGATTTTTTTTTCTTTGTTCATCTGTAATCTATCTTGGACAAGATATATGACGGCCACACAAGTCCAAAATGTACCATTTCAAAGTTATTTGCCGCAAATAATTGAGCCATGACCACAATGAACAAAGGACAAATAGCGAATGAATGAAGTGTGATTGACCTACTACGAACCACATAACAACTTCATAATAAAGACGAAACACTAATGAGATTATGCCTAAAATGTCAATTCACAATCATAAAGCATCGTTTACAAGAACCGTATCTGCTGCCAATACATGGTATTCAAAACACCATGAATTCATAATGTAAAAAACATCCACAATAGTTTTGTTGAGTTTAATCCAACACGATATAATAAATATAGATATAAATATGTATGAACACTCTGTTTTTACGTAGAAACCCAAAAGGGAGAAAACCACGAGACTTTTTAGGCTAATGTCACAGCCCTCACATTCTCGTTAATACTATCCTCACCA